TCCCCCGCCACCACCACCACCACCACCACCACCACCACCACCATCATCATGCTCAATCTAGTTTAGCACTAGACATCAGGCACAAATATTCTAAGATTTGTAGCATCTATTTATGAAACTGAGTCTGAGCTATGTCATATAGGTACCCCTTGGTTCTGCATCTTGAGAACCACTGTAGCCAAAAGCAACAACATACTGTGGCAAGCATCCTCAGATCTACACTACGTGAATTACTATACATCCACCATGAAGGAAGTTCACGTGATGTAAGCCAGATGAGCCCTCATGAACTACGTGGAAAAATTCTTCTTATGGTATGTTATTAGAGTTATTTTCTCTTGTATAAAATACACTGCAGATAAAAATAAAGATAAGAAAATTATAGTTAAATTATGAATAAAAATCATCTCAAGAAAGTGCACAGTGTCACTGAGTTCAGAATAAGTACAGTCTCACCTTCTTTCCTAGAACACTAAAGACAGACTATACAGGTATGTGTGTTTTCATGTGTGATGAAGGGGAGGAAGGGGGGGAAAAACTTGTATTTCAAACTAGAGGCCCCCTTTTGTTAACATTTAGCTAAAGCAAAATCAAACAGAGAACGGAGTAGTTAGGACATATAAAATGACTGAACAACAAACTGTGTTTATTTTCACTGTATAAAAGTTGACATATCTCATAACTGTAAATAATGTATACATGTATATTTTAAAGAGTTAAGAAGGTAAAACTAATGCCAGGGATGTTCATAAAAACTGAAAATACCTTTCCTAATCTTCTACAAAATTTTGTATCAGTCAGTTATTATTCAGACTTATTTTGGTATGTGTAATTCAAAACATATCATAAATTAGCTGGCATTCTTTGATATTTTGTATTGGGATTACCTTGACAGTTGGTTATTTTGGGATAAACATGCTGATGACAAAGAAAATCAACAATATATGCGCATATTACGTAACCTGTGTTGCTATTTTTATTTTTATTTTTAATTTATTTGAGATGGTGTCAGTAGTTCAAACTATATTGCATCAACTGATATGATGATTGCTGAATACTGAATTACAAAGCATGTTGAAGGAAGCGGTCACAGCTTAATTTGTGATACTATCCTAGCATTTGCCTCAAGGGACTAAGGAATACCAAAAAACTGTCTCATGGCCAAGATTTGAACCAGAAATCTCATGAATATGAAGCAGGAATGCTACCCACATTCCCATGACATTCAATAACTTGTGCTTAATAAAGCAAATAAACAATACAGACAATATACTCTATAGAGGCATATCTTAAACAATAAAGCCATTGCAAAAAAAAATATATAAAAGTTAAAGAATTTAATTGGACCCATTCTTATATTCTGTGTAGACTTTTTGTATGATGAGCAATTTCTAAGAAGTTTTTGCCTGATTTTAGCTTTTCTTGTAAGGAGGTGATTTTAATGAATTAATATAGACAAAAATAAATTCACCTAACAACAACTGGTGTAGATTCACAACACCAAATTTTATAACAATCCGCTGAGCAGTTTTGGAACTGAAATATACTGGTGGACAGATGGACAGACAGACATAGCCTATCCATTATCCATTAATTTCCTGTACTTCATATATAGAATGCACAAAAATAAACTCTGCGGTTCTGAGTTATACAAAATTTATTCAATGGCACACAATCCTCTAGTCTATGGCACATATATTTTGCTCATTTCCAACAGGGTAAGAAGCTGCCATTAGATTGGAAGGAAGACATGGGTGAGGTGACAGAAGAAGATGAGGGTGCCGAAACTAGTAAAAAGAAAGAGAAGCCAAGACGAGTTCCACTGTGCAAGGAACTCTCAGATTTGGTCAGCCTGGCCAGGTGTCGTTTCATCAGCTTCCTTACATCAAAAGAGACTCGTATGTTAATTCATGACACACAAATATTTATGTGGCTTGAGTTCTTGAATGTCTATGCATATTAACAATTTAAATATGTATAACAGGAAAATGTTTGAAGTGAACTTCACTTTATCCTATGCCTGAGCACTCCTCAGTTATGCAATGAATATATTTTACATAGTTATGTTTTAACCGTCTAGCTCTAAAGTAAATTTTCAAGAATATGGGTATATGACAAAGACTCCCTTCTGTCAAATCATCACTCAGGTTAAAATCCAAATTATTTGATAAAAATTGATATAATAATTTTAGGTATTCTGTATTTGAAAGTATAATCAAGCATTTGATAGTCAACTGGCTCCTATATACAGAAAAGAGTGTATGACAAACATTTGAAATATGTTTTCAAAATTGTGATACAGTATTAACTAGCCTGGAAACTGGACTATGTTATTAAGAGTGATATTACTACAAATGAAAACAACAATAACAATATCAACTTTAAGTTAATAATTTGTTATTCTCAGTAACCTGATGCTTTTAAATATAATTTTCTCTTTCAGAAAGTGCATATTATAAATATACAATCACTCTGTAATAAAAATTTAAAACTAAAGCAACATCTTGATGTGGAGAGATTGCAAGAAGCTGCCTTACGAGGAAGGAGTTATAAGAAATAATTTATGATGGTACTTCTAATTAAACTTGATAAACTTACATATATATTCCTTACTTTCTGAACAATAGTCTTGATGTGCATCACTGTCCTTACTGGAAGCCTGTCACAGACTTCCAGAGAACCTTATTCTTCTTACAGAAACTCCAACAGAAATGTTTTCACTCAATGAGTCTTCAGCCAGTAAATTGGTCCATTCCAATGCAGAGGAATTCATAGAACATAACAAAACATTTCTCACTCGTATTTTTCCAAATGGAAACCGGGTTGATTCAAGCAACTACAATCCACAAGATTTTTGGAACTGTGGCTGTCAGTTTGGTAAGTATTAAAATTGATATATCTTTTTTTACTTACTTATTCCAAACACTAAAATTAATACAACAATGCGCTCTATTTTTCAGTGGCTCTGAACTTTCAGACACCAGGACAGATGATGGATTTGTATGACGCAAAGTTCAGGCAAAACGGTGGGTGTGGTTATGTGCTCAAACCATCTGTCATGAGAGAACAGATCTCACTCTTCAGTGCCAATTCAAGGGATTTATTTCCTGGTCTTCCACCACAATTTCTTCACCTGAAAGTAAGAATTTCAAATAAATCTCTTTTGAGTAGACATGACAAATTTACGTGTAACTGAAATTGGGATACAGTATGCATGTAGATCCTTAGTGCATTGTCTTTTGAATTAGTGTTGGAGGAGGTGGCGGCAGCTTCCATGCAAACATTGGTAAGTAAAACTAAATTGTAAAGCTATCCCTGTACCAGGCAGTGAAGGCCCATACGGTTGTCAGAAGTTGAGGGTCCCACACTATCTAGACAATCGGCTCAAAGATGGTGGTAAGGTTGTCAGCCTTATGCGCCGGCCATGCTTTACTCCCCAGGAAAATTACTTAACTGATTCCTGGTACTCATTTCTGTTGGAGGCTGAGTAAACCCCAGAGCCTAGTGAGGCTGGAAGGATTAGGTCAACTGAAAAAATCCTATGACCTCATCGGGACTTGAACCCACAACCTTCTGGCTTGTAGCATAGCCCCTCAACCAACTATGCTACCACATTCCACGAAATTAATGACTCTACCACGTATATCCACTACTGTGGACAAGCAGTTAGAATAGACTTATAAGCTATAGAAGTGCTATTGGAAGATACTGCAATACAAATCAGTTTATAACATAACCTTAAATGTTACTAATTTCAAAGAATGCAAATATGTCAATACATGGCAGATATGCTTTTATCTGCAAACATAAGGCACAACTGCAACTAACTGCAGTGGTCATGATAATGCCAGATCACTCAGGAGATCACATATCTAATTCCACTACAGAGATCTTCCTTGCATAGCTGGTAATTATTCAGCTGGTCAGGACGTTCCCTGCTTTTATGAGGTTTAAAGGTTAATCACCCCATTCATAAAACCTCTCCAATGGACCATATCCTGAAGTGGTTGAATCCAGTTCACGTGTTCACATTCTGTTTCTCTAAGATCCATCTTAATATCATCCTTCCATGCTTAGGCTGATCAAGTGACTAAAATCATATAGTGCTTTGTTATTTATTACTCTTGGATTTCAACTACTCAGCAGTGTCCTCCATGGCATTAGCAAGGCTAACAAAAAGGTCTACTGTAAGTAAATGAGAGACATGAGATGACTGGCAGTAGCATATCAGGCAAACTGTCAAACGCCCCAAGCTAGTTCAATCCATAAAGTAATGATTTGGTGTCCATATTTCAGATCATCAGTGGGCAACATTTACCTCGTCCACGTGGTTCCACTGCCAAGGGAGACGTCATAGATCCGTATGTGGTGATTCAATTGCACGGTATCCCAGCAGATTGTACAGGTAAGGAATATCAGCATGTAATACTTCTCTTGTAAAACAGCTCACTCTTTACATGAGCTGAAATGACCTGGTCACAAGCAGACAGCACAGTTTAGAAACCAGTGTATATTTCTAATCATTTTAAATTAATTTGGAGACTCCTTGGACCTGCAGTTCAGTTTAATGTTGCACTGTTTTGTTACAATGTCAGATTATAATTATATCTGATTAACTACACATACGTTTCAAAAGTCGACACAAAGCATGTTCAAACTAATTTAACCCTGTGCCTGTAAAATACTAAGGGAAATATAAACTAATCACCTGTATCAGGTGTGACATATGGCACTCTAGCAGATCTTCAAAGTAATTAATTAAATATCGATGCATTTTATTTATTCATTCATAATTTAATTTAATTTTATGCAATTAATGCATCTGTTTATATGACCCCAGCATAATGGTTAATTTGTTGGAGCATTTCCATTTCCAATCACTACACTACTTTGGCCATACACCCTTGGTTTGATTGGTTTCCAGGTGACTTTGTTGTTGCTTCAGCACAATTAAAAATATAAAGCTGTCGATATCCTAGCTTATTTGCCTCATGTAGATACAACAGAGAGACAAAACAGTAAATCTTTGCCATGTATCTGGAATTTAATCTCTGTGCCCATTGATGCGAATGCCACTGCTAACCTGTTCTCTCACATATGTTCTCTGTAGCAACTCACATGAAATTGCACCTTTACTGATGTTCCTGCAAACTTGATTCAACTGGAGAAATTCTCTGCTGAGATCAGCATCCATAATTCAGCACATTTATATGACACATATCATCTATATGGACAACTGATATTGACAGTATACAAATCTGGGTCTCTTGAAATTTTGTATATGACATTTCACTATTGCTGCTCAGGGCAGTAGTTCTATTATTTAGAATGTGCCTATTTTGAAGCTTAGCCAAAACTGACCAGCTGTTCTGGTTTACTTGACCTCCAGACAGATTTCATGATAATGAGTCAGTAATCTGACAGGCTTTCCATATACTGACCCACCCCTGTGTGGGAAGAATGACAGAAATAGTAGTTACATACAGGAACTACAATTATGTTGCCATTAATTCGCTGACCAGACACTATGCCTGAGATGTCTCAGAACTAGCCACAACTACATCCTTCCACATCCTGTCCCATTCAAAATTCACAATTACACTACAATCTGATGTCATATAACATAATCAGTTGAAAAGGCAAAATTGAAAAACTCATGAGCCATCAATCTATCCTTTTAGCTCAAGTATTAACTCAGTAGCATATTTTCCATATCTTCTAAAGCTATACACATTATGACATGCTTGCTGGTCAAAGCATGAAAAACTAATTGAAACAAATTTCAATTACAATAAAAACAATCTGAGATTCATTATTACTTTATCATCTACCAATGCCACATTTAGCCTTCAAGAAAAATAGTGCAACATTAAAGTTTTAAAAAAAATCATATGCATTCAATTTTTGAACAGAGAAATGTGGTCATTTTCCATGGAGCCCTTCAATTTTCAATGGGTGTATTGCACTGCAGAGCAGAAGACTAAGACAGTATCCAATGAAGGGAACTGCCCAATATATGAGGAAAGTTTCGAGTTCCAAGTCATGTTGCCTGAACTTCTACTGCTTCGCTTTGTGGTTCTGGATGACGATTACATTGGTGATGACTTCATTGGCCAGTATACAATCCCATTTGAGTGTCTGCAAACAGGTAAGGTCTCTATAACACTATTCAAACTGTAAAGAGAACTTTTGAGCCATAAATACAGATTCCAGCTTTTAGCAAATAAATGTATTATACTTCAATATTACAGAAACATAATCCCACACAATTCTTAATATTTATTTTCCTTGCTTCTCTTTGGCCTTTAACACTTATTTCCTTGGAAATTCTCACAAAAATATGTCTCATATTTTAATGAGGATTGTCACATCCATAATAATTTTGAAAAATGCATTTAAACAGTTATGCAATTATTAGTATCTGTGTTTAACAAATCATCACTAATGGAAAGCCATGTGCATTTAATGATACAAATTCCTAGCCACCATACTCTTTTTCAGAGTACTGTATTTATCTCCAGGAAAATAAAGATGTTTCAGGATTGCTTCTATGGTTTCATTTTTCCACAACTAACCAAGTGCACAAATTTTCATAGAAAATTCTAAACATAAGCCTCAGTAGGTCAATCAGTCAAGTGACTAGCAACAGGTCAGATGTACAGAGTTAAAGTCAATTCCAAGCTGTTGCAGGAAATTTTCTTTCCAACTCAACATTCAAACTTCTCTGGGTCCCAACCAGCTGCTTACTCTAAGGTATAGGAATAATGTTAGTATCTTATGAGTGATGCAAGATGTCATGTAATAATTTTTGTAACACTGTATATACAGCAGAATATTACATTATGCAACAAATGGACAGTGTAAAGGCAAAGTCTCTAAGTCCAAGAACTGAACACGATAATACATTTATTCCAAACTCAGAATGTTTCATATTTAATTAGCTTAAAAGTGTTTTCTAATTTCATTCCCTTGTAAGCACCTATTACTGCAGACATGTTTACAGTTCTGTTGCTTAGCAATGGGCATGGCGTGAACCACATTGAAAACAAGTAACATGATAACTATCTTGCCAGTCTATTGGCATGCTGATTGTTGCCTAGCAACGAGCTATTAACATTCCTCCTATTGTTGCATGACCTAGCAATGGACTGTTTACAAAGAGTCTGTCTTTGCAGGAACTTGTTTATCAAGACATTGTCTAGCAATGGGTGTTCATGTAACAATATACTTTGGAACTTTCAACTACATTGCAACAGAAGCCCTTGAGAGTTGTATAATGTGTACCTCTCATGTGTCTGCTTTATACTAAATCTGTAGATAGAATTCTATGTTGGCTTACATGTTTCACACAGTGAAATATAGGATACTACAACTTTAACTACATAATCAGTGAATAGATTCAGCACAGCCTACAAACACACTGTGCTTTCCTGAGTCAATATCTGCTTGTATGCATATTGTACAAAGACTGTTCTTTCTGAATTCTTAAATTGCATCATTGCACATTGATTAGCATTCCTTCATACTCTTTGCATCTTAGTTAGAAGGCCTGCAATCTCGACTGATGCCTTGGATCTCTCCAAGCAAACTTTGGGCAGGAGTGTAATGCCACCTTTTTAACAAGGGGCTCACACCAGTAAACAATATTTTCTTTTCCATTTTGAAATAATTTTAAATAAAATAAAATGATACATATAAACATAAAAGTTATTTGAACATACTTGTATATAATTATATAATGTATTACTATATTGCACTATTAACATTTGTCATGATGGTGCCATATGGCTCTAGCTAAATTTAACAAGCTTGGTGCAAGCACCTCTGTGCCCCCTGCACCGCATGTCTAATGCTAGGGTAATATATTAAAATAACCTGCAACCACTTCCTACCACATCCATCATTCATAATCAGTCTATCATTAGATAACTTACACAGCTAACAAAGCACTGTTAAATAAGATAAGTTACAGCATACTTTCAATTATCCATGTGTGGATCATCCTCTCTCTTGATTTATTGTAGGCTTCTTACAAATTCTCACTTGCTCATTATGGCTTCCTGTAATTTAAATGTTGCCCATTACATCTGTTTCAGTAACATGAATCAGTGATACTTTACAACAATTTGAAACATACTGAACATCTTCTCACGCTGTTGCAACTTTGTATTTTAACACTTCATTGTTCTTCATTCTCCTGCCATTGAAGAGTTCACACACAAACACATGAGCAAACACATGTGCAACCATGCTTGAACACACAATCATGCATGCAAGCACAAATGCACATGCAAGTGCAAACACAAACACACAGAGAGTGACATTCCTTGGATCCAGAATTTTCCAGATGAGAGTAGAATATGGAATAAGTTCTAATATGGAAGATGTGAAGATATCTCACTGCTTAGTAACCAGTAGGATTCCCAGTAATAACTATTTTTCACAGTTTAATTCAGCTTGGATGTGGATATTTATAGATTTTTAGATTATCCAAAATTTAATTTAAATTGTCCATGGTTTATGCTGACCGTCTTACAGTGTACACACTTTTTCATCTTATTCTTCACTTCCACACTACATGTTTCGCCACTAATGTGCCATCTTCAGGTGTCTTTATGCACATTAAACTATTGTACTGCATGCCACAATGTATCCATTCTAAAATGACTAAAATCTGTGTTCGTCATATAGGACGATGAATTCTAAATAATAGAACTTTTCAGGATTTGTCCTACATCGCACTCAAACACTCGAATTACGCCAATCCTCTTTTATGTGAGCATTCCTCCTACATATATTTGTGTATCGTGTTCTGTGTTGTGTTTTGCTCCTGTTACTGCATGCGTTGTACTGCTGGATCTGGTGGCATGCAGTCAGCATAAACCATGGACACGAATCAGTGTAACAGGACACTAAAATATAACATTGTTAGTTTAAATTGTTTGCGTTATTTCTTCCTTCCACTACAACATATAATTAAGAGTTTACTGCAAGCTAATTTTGAAATTTATCCATTTACAGCTCTGAAAAAAATTGGAAAATTCTTTTAAAAAAACTTATGATACATAACATATGTGAACAGACTGACAAATTGCATTATTACTTGACAGGGAAGTGTGAAGGATATACATTCAGTTCAATATCAAGAAGGTAATAGTTAAAAATTCAGAGAATTTGAAAGTTATGCAAGAGAGCGTCCTAAGATACTCCAAGGTGGCTTCCCTGCTAACTTTCCTTGCCTTTCTGATCATGTTCATTATCTCTCATTTCAATCCTATATAACCTCTCCAAATGATGCAGCATAATTAGATAACACAAGTCACACAGAACATAACAACTTGAAATCCGCAGATTTGGTATAGCTTTAAGCAACAAAAGCAATGCATGATCAATAGAAGTTCGGTTAAGCAATAACTCTACATTTCTCAAGCAATTATATTATCCTTTCATGTGACTACAGAATTTCATACAACTTTGAAACGATTTTCTTCATTCTGTCTAGCATACTCATGGCCAGGCTCTTCTCTTTGCAAACATGAATCAACTATTGCCCCCCACAAAGTCTTCATGTGGATGTGTGCAACTTTGGGTGAAATTTCTATGGTGGTTAAAAAGATGACCTTTTAAGAGTTAAGATATCAGAACAGATTTCAGATACTGTGCAAAATAATTATATATTATATATAGAATGGTGTGGTGTCAGACAATTATAGTTTGGTTTGATGATATGCCAGTACACTTCTGATTATGCTACCAAATCAAATGTATGAAATACAGTTACGTGTACTTTAGCTGCATTTGTTACAATCACTTAAGCTTCACAACCAAGCTGAATAGTAATAGAGTTCACAGAAATGCAATTTGTAGTGCAAGTTTTAGAAACATGTGTAAATCAACCATACTTCTTTATTAGAATCTGGTGTATAATACAATTCACTGCATATTCTTTGTTCAAGTACAGATACTTGAAAAATCTTGCCAAATTTATTACTGTACTCCATATGGAGTTTCATCTGTTGGGCTATTATAACCCTGAAATTATACTGCCTCATAATTATGTAATTTATTTCTAAAAACAGAAAATCTGATACCTTTTAGTATTATTTACCAAACCCTTTTTTTTTAACTTCTAACAGAAATCCAAATTCTGAATATATCCCTCTTGTACTCTCACTTTGGTGCTAATATAATTCACAGAATAAATCTTACCATGTCACATCTTCTTTTTCTGTTGAATTATTTCCATTCCTTACATGAACAATGTATAATAAAATGTTAATTTTATTTCTTATAGGCATACATACAAGTTTTCACATTTGGAGGTACTGAAATTGCAATTCTTGTGTTACTGTACTAAGAGCATTTTCTGCAACTCAGTATTCTAACACCATAAATATAACATTTGAATATAAGGGGGGGGGAAAGGCATTCAAAATAACTAAATATTGGGTTCCTGGTTTAAGAAGGCCATGCAAGACTTGTTATTTAGTTCTGCTACAAATGGAGAAACAGTGGTTATTTGAAGTGCAATAGTGCTGGCTTATTCATGACATAACATTTTACAGTTATAGTACTTCAAATAATTTAAATTAGAAATAGTGATCATTACCTCTTTAATTAATTTGCACTTCACGTAGTCCACTCCAACTCTGGCAACAAAGGTTGCAGCTTTTAGTCTCTCTCTTCACTTCAGGTTACCGCCATATCCACTTGTTGTCCAACACCGGGGAGCCCCTAGAAAACTCGACCCTCTTTGTTCATGTGGCTATTACTAACAAAAAAGGTGGTGGGGTGAGTACATAATGCATTATTACTTTATGAGATGGGATCTTGTGTCTCTTTGTGAGTGATAATGTAGTTTTCTACCACATTTTATGATGGTCTCCACATACTTTATAGAAAGAAAAATGCGAAGGCATGATTGGTAATAACTTGAATCCTTCCATATCTGTCTTTTATCATTTACAATGTCGTTTTCAGTGACTAACAACTTTGTGCTTTTTTGTTTATGCAGTTATCTATCTCATTCGGTTTAGTACTTCATTCTTCTTTAATATGTATGTACAACTAGAAGCCAAAATATCCTCTTCTATACTTTTATTTCCCTCTGTTTGAAAGCTCTTAATATATGGTCCAAAATAATTCCATACCTTAATTTGACCTTTTTCTTGCAGAAATTCATGAAGAAGAAATCCAAATCAGACAAAGCTCACAATGAGCTGCGCATGGTTGGTATCAAACAAGTTGATGATGTAATTCGGGTAAGTTATCCAATATTATCTGCAATAAGCTTCTATTGAAGAATGTGAATATACTTGGGAAAATATAGTGGAACCTTTCCATACAACAAACTTCCTTGAAACTGAATCCAGCTAAGATCCCTTTAAAATATGACCAAATTAGTTACAGATATTACAAGAATCTAAAAATGTGGAACATATATAAACGTTCTGCTAGTGTTAGTAACAATAGTCAATATGACTATTGCAGCTAAATATGCAACATTTGATACAGTGCCACATTTTAAGCATATACCTGTAAATTTTATAAAAAGAAACAATTCTCATTGTCATAATGCAGAATTCTGTGTTTTGTTTTCACAGCTTTCAGGTATGTACAGTAGCAGAAATTGTGCACTAAACTGCACCTATACATAGGCTCACCATATTTCCTGGTTTTGTGTATTGTCCTGAGGTACCATCCAGTAATTATGAATTCAATAAATGTCTGAGATTACAACTTTCAATCAACCTTTTATGTTTATAAGAATACTTGTTCCCTGAGGGAGATGTTTGTTCTGAAACTGCCTATTATTCACAGAGAGATTCATTATACAGTGCTGTCAGTGAGAACAGAAGCAAGCATGTTGCAAGCACAAACGTTCTGCCTTTGAACAGTGATCGCTCAGTCATGAGCATATCTAAATACAAATTATTTCTTGCATGACCAGGGAATGTCACAAACATTAGAAGTTGCTCTCAAGGTTCGGCAAGATGCAGATGCTGCAATGGAGGATTTGAGAGCAGAATGTGGACTTGGCGACACAGCCAATATGAAACAGTGTCTCCGAGTCTTATTGCAAAGGCTGTCTGCAAGTCCACAAGTCAACTCCATGGCAATACGAAATGAACATGGGGTAAGTGCACCTTTGGTACTACAAGTACCACTACTGTTATTGGGTTACAATAAAACCTTGAAATACATACATATACATTAAAATAATATACTTCTAGGTTGATAAATTTTCAACACACTCAATTCTGTACTTTACATCACGTTTTAATTAGGTGCATTACTTTATTAGACATTACGGTAGATGTAGATTACATTCAGTTACCTCCCTACCACTTGGCGCTAGAGCCCTGAGTGAGCCTTGGCCTCCTCTACAACCAGTCTCTACAACCAATGCGAGCTGCCGTAGGAATGGACCCACGAATGATGACCCAAGGCTGGTTGTTAGGTTTCTGAACAAAATTCCTTTTACAGGATGAGATTGTTAGCCTCATGCCCAACCTCCAACCTGGAGGACCAGGGTATCTCTCTTAGTCTGGACTCTACCCTTTGACCTTTCCAGCATGGGTAACCCTTCTGGTAGGTAAACTACCGCTGGCATAGCTCTCCAGGTCACAGAGTCACACAAACCCCACCATAACAACAAGGTGGAGACACCTTTGGGGGGAGATTACATTCGGTTAGGCAGTCACATTACACAACCACATATCTATATGCTCACCCACCTGAATATTGAGTGGGGGCAGTTTTTTAAGTTTCACTAATATGAATTTCTTATGTTAGGTCAGGTTTGTGCAATAGACTACTGCACATCCACCCATAAGCTGGGGGTTAGGTTAGGTGTGTGCAATAGACTACTGCACATCCACATGCTGAATCATGCATGGTCTGGCCACTGGCAATGATTTGAAATTTCAATGTCTCTGTTAGCATATAATATCATTACATATTTACATGGCATTTTTATTCCCAAAATTTTTTGTATGACAAAAGTTTCCATATATTCTTCCTTTATCCTGTCTACAAAATCTAACAAACCTGCAATATATTCAGAAATTCCTAATGTTCATAGCCGAATATTTCCAAAATGTTGATGTGGAGCTCTTACTTACTTAGAATAATACCTATTGTGACGTATCCCCTCCCCCACCAGCGGTGATGTAACAACATCGAAGCGCTGTTGCTGCTACGGTAAGAGGCCAGTAAACACTCCATCCCCTCCCCCATGGTTGCTATGCAGCAGTAAACAACTCCTGACAGCATTGTCCAGCAACACCTGTAAACACGGTGATTAGGCAACAGCGAAGTGAGGCATTTTCCATTGTCTGGCTGAGGGTTCATAAGAGAATCACACTGCCTAAGAAGACAGTTAAAATGTAGCAGCCACCGAAGACAGTTGAAATATAGCAGCAGTCGCAGAAAGAAAACCCGAAAGCGTGTTTAGAAGATTTGATGTGATAATTTGTGATACTGCCGAGGGCAGTAATTGTGAGATTTTAAATTGTGTGATTGTAAGAGCGAATGTGCAATAAATTCGCTATATCAAATATGGCATGAAGTTACTTGTCGCACATTATACACCCAACATGTGACACTATGCTTTCCAAGTATACAGAACAAATTTTAACAATATTGAACTCTTGTGGCATTTTCTGTAAAACATCTCATGATTTTTTGAGAAGTATTAGGAATGCATGTCACCCCCCCCCCACATATACACACATCCACATGCAAGTGTATGTAGACACACAAACATATGCAGCCCTAGAAGTCTCCTTCCGCCACCACAACTGTAGAAACTGACGTAACTATTAACATCTTCATTGCAGCTACCAATGTTAAAGGTGGATGCACCAAACATGCCACCGCATCTGCACCGAGCCATTGTAACCTTTGAAAGAGCTATAATTGAACTGAAGTACATGGTAGACAATGGCGATCACTTGGCGGAGACAATTAATTCACATTTTTCAACATTACTGGAAATGCATGAAGAACTTCCCTCCATGGCTGGTGTGAAAGGCAAAAAGTACAACCGCATATTGGACAACTTCACATGGAATGTACGCATCTTGCGTGGTCAGGTGGATCTCCTACAGTCCTGCAGGAAAGAGTGTCAGCAAGGTCTTGCACAGGTAACATTTGTCTGTTATCTTCTTCAATGGAATGACAGGACTTCAATATTACAGCAATATACTTCAGAACTGTTCCATAACTATGTCAGAGAACTCCTCCCTAGTAGTTCAGAAAGATCATAAAAACATATGGGGTTCCATCAGAAAGTTCCCAGACTGTTACTGTTGTAACTGCCCTGGTGAAACATGAGAGGGGAGGCCAAAGTCACCCTTCTGCAAGCCTACTGCATCAGTCTGCCACATGACACCGCGCTGTGAAGACACATAGTTTTTACACAAGTGCTTGTTCAACTTCATGTCTCGTCTTGTCTGCGATGGATGGCAAAATCGAGCAACGTGTCTGCATCAAGTTTTGTGTGAAGTTTGGTAAATCCGCTATTGGAAACCTTGAAATGCTTTGTGAGACTTTGGGAGAACATTCTTTAAGCTAGACAGCAGTTTTTGAATGGCATTCATGTTTCAAGGGCGGTCAAGTGTCAGCTGAAGATGATAAGCATTCAGGGTAACCAAGCACCGGCAAAATGACAGAAAATGTTGAAAAAAGTCAAGAACTCATCCAAGAAAACCGTTGCTCAAAAATCCATGAGCTCACAGACACCACTGGGATCAATTATGGAGTTTGTCAGGGGATTTTAATAGAAAATTTGAATGTGTGCCACATTGCCAAGAAGTTTGTTCCCCAACTCTTGACCAATGACTAAATGCAGCAGCAAGTAAACATGTGTCTTGAGCTACAAGAGACTAATGACAAGCTAAGAGACTAATGACAAGAGACAAGCTAATGAGGACTCAATTTTTATCTCTAGCATCATAATGGGTGACGACAGTTGGATTTATGGTTATGATCCAGAAACAAAGCAAAAATCATCACAGTGGAAGAGCCTACGATCACCAAGAGCAAAAAGGTGTGGCAGGTCCAAAGTTCAACAAAGAGCATGCTCATTGCTTGTTCTTTTTTGACATAAAGGGGATTATTCACCATGAATTTGTTCCTCCTAACACTATGATCAACTATGACTTTTACTTTGACATTTTGAAATGCTTGAGAGAAAGTGTGACAAAAAATACCACAACTTTGGTGCAACCACAACTGGCTTCATCATGATGTTCCTGCCAACACAGTTTATGACTAACAACAACATGGTTATCATTCCCCATCCTCTCTACTCACTGGACTTAGCCCCTGTGATTTTGCTTTGTTTCCCAAATTGAAAAAGAAACTGAAGTGACAGCCTTTTGGAACAGTGTCTGACATCCATAGGGAATCAATCGCAAGCAGTACTCAACAGCATTAAGGAAAATGACTTTCACGGTGCTCTTGAAACATGGATAAAATGATGGGATCAGTGTATATGTTCCCAAGGAGACTATTTTGAAGGATATGGCAGCCAAAGATGGGTAAGTTAAGCCAGCATTTCTTTTATGGGCTAGTCTGGAAACTTTCCGATGTCAGGATAATTATGCCCTGACTGGGACTTGAACTTTGTAAAGCCTGATGTAGAAACATGAAAAGAAGTTTGACCTTATGAACATGTTCAAAAACAACAGAGTGACATGTAAAATGCTACATATGAAACTGACAAAATATAAATACAGCTTTCCTATTCCTGCTAAGTTAATGTATGATATGTTACGTTCAGTTACGTCCCCATAACAATAGTCAGATTAAAAACACATTTTACAGGAATTGTTTTGAAAAAGAATACATATTTCAGGATATAAAACGTTTGTGTCTGTATACAGCACAGTTAGGAACTACCCCATGAAAAGATGATACACACTGAATGAACCAGTTAAATCATCTTGCAGGTTCAGAGTACTGCACCAACAGTTGATAACTACAACAGCAAGGACAGATCACCTAGCATCACACGTAACCAGCGTAAACTCAACCTGTTCTGCAAACGTCAAAGTATAGACATAGGAGCTGTGGCAGGAGGAACAGGGACTGGACCTGCACGAAGTCCCACCTCACCAATACAAGTTGATATCAAGCCCAAAAGCATACTCAAGAAGTCAAATTCAAATGTAGAACAGGGAAGTACAATGCACAGCAAACCTCTCTTGCCTAATAACAATGCCCGGTCAAACTCTTGGGTCTCAGAAACCACATCAAGGAAGAACTGACCAATTCTGGTCACCAGATGTCAACACTGTGCCTTGTAGGCTAACAGGGAGATGTGCAAATTAAACCTATTTATTTAAGCATCTGTAAAGAAAACTGAATTATCTCGTAACTGCACCCAATATAAATCTTGTATTTTTGCAGCAGTTATCAAGTTTTATTTGTGAACCAATGACAGATGTCTGCCATTCAGATGCAAAGAGAACATCTATTTACATCATTCCATGAAAACTAATTTCATACTCAATTTCTGCATTGCATGATAAAGGCTCCCACACATATTAAGTTGAAACTAACATATCTGAAGACTAATTTCAATTCCCTCCTTAAATATCTGAGACAACAAGTGTCTGAACAGGTATGTATGCATATTTGTTTGTATGTGTAGGCACATACATTTAATTATGTTGGTGCATTAAATACATAACGATATTATTTTCAAACCCTGTTGATTTAAACATATATCAACATTTACCAAACTGTCATCTACCACATCAATTACCAGGAAGGGATACATGCTGTTGCCTCTTACCTACAGAAGAATGATAAATATTTATAAAAGGTAACTCAATAAGAAAGCCTATGTATGTATTTTTGTAGCATCTTTGTCCCCCTTTGTGACCTGACATGCCAGCAACCTGTAACACGAGCCCCTTCTTTTCAACATTATTTGTCTTTTAACAGAAAGGTTCTCAAATGATTAGCTAATATTCTTCTCCAAATATACCAATATTCACGCCCTTAATTGGTTTAAAAAAATATGTACAAGGATAACTTACTTTTCTCAATTAATCTGTATGAAGAATAAACTGTGATCATGACTAAAAGTATATAAATTTCACACTAACCTGATCAACCTGTCACAGGATTTAATTTCATTTCAGTTGCTACTGGTTGCTGCAAGAATGCTCCCTTCACTAAATTACAAATAACATTTTACATGTTTTGTAATCAGCCTTTGTCTGCTAGATTTTCTGACTGTTTCCATCAGACTAAGCAAGCAGAGTCTTCTCAACAAGCAGTGGCTGTGTACCAGTAATTAAACAATGAGATAATTTTGTAACAAATTGTTTAGTCCAAGAAACAGTTCTTCTGTATTCATTTTACAGAACTTGGACAAATTCTTTCACAAATACAGATTTTTATCAGTAGATGAAACATAATTTACAACTTGTCCCTGTGCTTAACTAATTAAGCACTATGCCATGAAGACATATGTGGGAGTGGATGTACAGACCAAAGTTTTCTTGACCTTGGCACTAGTCGGAGCTGAGTGGTCAGTTTCACACCCCCGCCAACCCCCAGGGAGAGCCTCCAGTACCCACTGGATAGGAGGCTGGGTGGGCCCCAGAGCTGGTCTGGATGACGTGGAGAAGTGAAATTTCTTGCCTCCATCGGGAATCAAACGCTTTGGTCATCCAGCCTGTAGCCAGTCACTATACTGTCTGAGCTACCCCAGCTCCTGAAACATAATTTATGGCAACTGATAAAACCATTATTTGTATCTTCCAGTCATCCATATTTCAATTATATTTCCAAGTAAGGTTTCTATATTAACATTTTCAGCATGTCTTTGGACATCAGGATTGAGTCTGAAAATTAATTCATATATAGAAAAACTGCTGAAAATAAATATTCCTGAAGTATCATTACATGTTGTTAGTATTCAACAGACCACTCCGCTTTTAATGTTTACCAGTGCATTTTTACAGCACGTACACAGTACTGAAATCATTCAGTAATGTTTTGGAGAGAAAAAATTAACTTCAAAGAAGAATTTGTTTACAAAATAATGACACACTACTTGCAGAATTTTCATTAATACTGAAACCACAACAATCTTGATACAATAATGACAATTTGGCAACTGAAACCCTAATCCCAATCCCTTTAATCCATCACTTTTTACATGATTCAAAATAAATTACTTCTATAACATTATCATGTAATCAGATATGCAGACATCAGTTCACACAGAACCTCTTATTTATCTTGTAAATTTCGGCACATTAATAATAAAGAATTGAATTGAATTTCTCAAGATTTCATGTTTTGGCAAAATTATAAAATAAATTCAGCAATATTACCATTAAAAAAAAGATAACTCAACTCGTGGATTTAACAATACTGACATTTGATTGTGTGTAATACTTTATACAAAAATATAAAGTAATATGTATCTCAAGTCTGTCATGTACTTCAGTATCTATAAAAACTGGTGCTACTTCTAACAGTGTTTTTGTATTAAAATATAATCAAATGTTTCCAGTGTCCCATGTTTCAGACACTTATAAAACCAAATATATTTTGTTCCTGTCAAGGAAAGTTACTTGCAGTTAATTCATGAGGAATAACTTTGGTCACAGAACGACCTTGTGTAATACTTGTTTCTTCAATCACGGTGTTGGCAAGATAAATACTACTATCTTATGTTCAGTTCACATGCTTGATAATTCTGTTGCTTATCAGTCACTGCAAGGTTTGAAAACAAAAGTTAATTTTTACACACTTCTAGAAAATGTAATAGCATCACACTTTCAGGACAGTGGTATACTGTAGTAAGGCTTTTGCTCAGGACAAATATCGGTATCCCACATACAGGCATATTATTAATGAATCACTTTACCACTGAACCTGAACTGGAAGCTGAGTTGATGAAACTACCAGTAATATTTGTCATTATGCACATATAGCAACATAAAGCATACATAAAGTAGTACTATAAGAGCAAAATTAGTTATATAAAAACAGCGAGCCAAGAAAGGTAAAATTTATCATTCTTAAATTCCACTTCAAAATTTTAAATAAGGGAAAATCAAAGGGAAAAAATGCAACAATATACAACTTCCACATTTATATAATAATCATTAAAAAATAATGTTTCACATGCTGACTTATGTGAAATAAGTACTATTGTCTGGGATGTGATATCGTGTAGCTTGGTAGGAGTTTACAGATGTTTTGAAAGAACATACTGCTCCATCTTAAGAGTTGAAGAGTAATCTATACATTAAGCAGCAAGAAGAATAGTGCTTCCTTTCAATCCTGAAGATTGCAACAGTAGGTTTCTCTGAAATGGCAGTAAACTTCTACCTGACTACACTGCACCACATTTCAGAAGATAAGTGTCTTCATATGTAGTGTCTCAAGAACCTTGAATCTTAATCTTTATCCTTTAGAGATCACCTGCATATGAGAAAACTACTGTAACAACATGACATACAAACATAATCATATGTGATTCCTATTGAATTTTCACAACCTGAAATGTTTAACATGTTACTTCTAGTGTCACTGTTTTGGTCTTCAAGAACTAAACTGTTTAAATGCCATCTTAAAAAAATAAAGCTTAACTATATTCAATTCATTACTCTGGAATGGTTACAATATTTTATAGACAACCTCAGGAGACTTGGGAGACCTAGGCATAGGTGAGAGAATATTAAAATAGATCTTACAGCAGTCGGACGTTATTAACTATATTCAATTGGTTCAGGATAAAGTTGTAAATGTGATTATGAACTTCCAGGTCTATAAAGTAGATACATTTCTTTATCAGCTGAGTAACTATCAGACCATGCACCATGGAGTTAATTCAACAATTTTCTATCATAATGCATATTTAGCAAAATCTAAAGAATGTTGTTAATTTTAAAGTGGTACAAGCCAAGTTTTAAAAATTATCCTTTAGAACTCAGAATTTCTAACAGTACTTTTACTGACAAAAAAAATTCTGAACACTGTACTGCCAAATCATATGCACATAACAACACCTGCAAAGGTATATTTTTAATGCACTTTCTGAAGTCAGAATGCTACATGTACTGATTATGTTAAGTGACATACATTCACACCACCTACTACACATACAAAATAAAATCTGGGTAGCCTACATCCCATGGGCCACAGCAAGAGTCACTTAAAATATACAATTTCTCTTCTTTCATTTTACAATCTTCCAGCACATGCAATATAAATCTGATGGTGACAAATGTGTTGAATCTACCCTGTCATTAATAAGTTGAACTACAGTATGTTCACAGATGACATACACGAATCACAGACATTGTATAAATTTCTTCTTGCCCTGATATGATGTTGCAGGTGATTAGGTGATTTTCACAATGGCTTAAAGAATTATACCAAAACTTGCAAAAATACATATCTGCAAGCAGAATGTTTTCTCAGCCACATGCAGGCACACAGGAAATACAGGGTGGTTCATGGCTCTGCACTTCACAGCGACTGGTGCACCGCTAGCTAAGAGGTGCATATGAATTCTGCTGACAAATCAATATGCCTGTTGGCCAATAATATTTGGAATGAAGTAGCTGCAATTCACAGATCACAGGAGGTGTTGAAAATGCTGTCCCTGTCAATTTTAGATTGATCCCACCTTCGACAACAGAAAGTAGAAACCAACTGTACAAATGAACACTGCCATATGGCTCACAAGGTTGCAAGGCGTGGATTACTGTTCTTTTATAGGATCTAAGCTTCAGCAATTGTACTGTTTTTCTTGCACTAGACTTTGACACTCCAGCTTCTTGAGCTAGATGTTTCAGTGATTCTTTACCATATCAATATTAGAGTCAATTTTAAAGACCACACAACATATTTTTACTATTATTACACTACATGTTTCCACCTCAAGAGATCATCCTCAGGTGTACGAACACAGCTGTATAATTACATGCAATCACATTCGTCTTCTCACTTATTCGATCCTGTATCTTATTCAGGCCCACAATCAATAATATATCAAGCTCCTCTCACAAAACACAAGTTAAAATATTATTCCAAATGTCAAAAGCCAAAATTCAAAATCTGTGAATCGAATTTCAATTCAGATAACTAGTTATGCTTTCACTTCCACTTGTTATTCAGTCACTTCCTACTTACGTTCATCACTGCATCAAATTTTTAACTGGTTTAATTATATTATTGGTTAAAAGTTCATGAATTAAAGTTCAGTTTTATTATACTGATTGCACTTTTCACTTTTTTGGAGGTCTTGCTGTTCTTTCGCGTCCTCTGATGTTGCTGGATCTGTTACAGTCCTTGTCGTGATGGTGTGGGCCTGAATAACATACAGGATCAAATAAGTGAGAAGACGAATGTGATTGCCTGTAATTATACAGCTGTGTTCGTACACCTGAGGATGACCTCTTGAGGTCAAACCATGTAGTGTAATAATAGTAAAAATATGTGTGGTCAGTAAAATTGACTCTAATATTGATTAAATACACAACAGGATGCAAAAAACAATTAAAGTCTTTACCGTATGTTCAAGTTGGGCTCCTACGTCATCTGACTTTTCCTCAGTAAGCATTTGGTGCTTATGTCCCAGTGATCTAAGTTTATTCACCAAACTGTGACTTGTTTGTCTCCTTGGAACTCTTTCATCATGAAATTTCTGTCAAAATTTTTGTCAACACTTCTAGCAGATCACATAGGTCTCATACAGAAATATACATTGCTCTAAAGCAGGGGTCTCCAAACTTTTCGAACCGCGGGCCACATTAGGTAATTCAGCACTTTCAACGGGCCAGATAAAATGAGAAATTAATAACTCTAGGTATGTGAGTTTCATTGAAAGCACAGAATTTAATAAACTAAATACAGAGTACGTGAGAATAAATTATCGTATATTAATGACAACAGACAGTAGCAGCAAATGCTCAAATTTTCATCACAAATTATAATATAACAATTAATGTGAATGATGGAACTCTTTTTGCATTCTTAAAATCTGATTAAATTGAGGTCCAAATTTTGAAATGCTAATCACAAGTAGCGACTTTAAATGTTCATTGGATAAATTTGCCCTGTATTTTGACTTGATGTACTTCATCTGGGAAAAAAGTTTGTTCACAAAGTTACGTCGTCCCAAAAATGGAGAAAATTTACAAGAAAATTTCTTTAAATTGGAAATTACTCAGAGTTCAGAAATTTATAAAATTCAATCAAATTTCCTTCCTTGTATTTGTCTTTAATATGATCATTTTCCTGACGTTCAATAATTTCCATTTGAATTTGTCTTGGGACATCTGCAGCATCACAGTCAAACGGATTTTGAAACAATCTAATTTCCTGAGCACTGGAATCCAAATCATCAAATTGCTTCCAAAATTGTTCTTTTAAATCTAAAATGACTAAATTTGCAAATGAGGAAGGAAATTCTGCTTCACCCTTTTTATGCAACTTTGCACAGTATAGCATATGAACAAAGTTAC